TTCAATGAAAGGGTAGTTAACTGTGATTGCTTACCAGCAAAGTTTGCTGCTAAACTGTTAAATGATGGAAAACATATAAAACTATTCATGAAATATCTTGTTGTTCATTTTCTGGTGAAAAATGTGCTTTATGCTGTTGTATGAACTTACATTTTTTTGTAGTAAATGGAAAATAATTGCATGGAATGCATCTTTTAGCATCTTATAAAATTACATTAGTGAACTACATATACCATTATGTACAACAAGCCTTCAGACTAGGTTACATAGAAAAGTTTAACATCTCCCCATCCCCACACCCCCCGAGCTTCAACTCATGGGAATTTGGGAATTAAAACTCCAATTCCTCACCATTTTAATTTGCAAGGGTGAGAAAGGTAATTTGACTGTCCAGAACAAAAATATTAGAGAACAGCTAGTGAGTATATTTAATAAATGAGCATCAAATGTCTTCTGGGGTAGGCCATATTCCAAGATGAGGACCTATATATAATTTGTTAAAGACAAATGTATGAGGTATGATTGTGACCATTTGGTTATGACCTACTACTGTCATGCATTTGGCTTTAGCGTAATAGCCACACAGGAAGTGTGGTGTTGAACTTTTTTGTGTTCAAATGCAGCTAAGTAGCTGTGGTGGAATGTCCTATATATGGCCGCATAAAAAAAAATAAAATAAAAAAAATAGGTCCATCTAGTTTTTCTATTCTGTTATACATCTGTCTTTTATTCTTTAATAATATTTCAGTGCTTCAGCTACAGTATCTCTAGTATATGTGTTATAAAAAAAGAAAAGAGGGTTCCCTCAGCCTTTCATTCTTCTAAGTTTGACAATACAGTTAATCATATATGTTTTCGTTACCCGGAGGTTTTTTTTTAGTTACTCCTGTTTTAGCATTAGAAAGCTGTCAACTTTGACCACATGGTGAGTGAAGCCTGTAAAGGGATGGGAGTGGGTGATCAAGATGGTGCTGCCTACAAAGTAAAAGGACATGTTTTGAGGGAGGAAACTAAGTAAAAGAGGTAAATGGTACCTAATGGAACAAAGCACTGAAACTTTTTTGGGGGCAATTTAGTATGTATATTACTAAATAAAGCATGCATTTTTATTTTCCTTTTCATTTTTTTTTTTTCTTTGGGGGTATACAAAGAAAAAGCCTGCTTTGTGTGTCTGGAGTGTTCCTTTTAATATGACTTGTCTTACTAATTGTTTTATAGACAAAGTAGATACCGGTTACACACACATCATGCATCTGTTCCACTCACAAGAGCCATCAAAAGAACATTGGTTAAGTTACGTGGGAAACTAATACAAGGCTATCTAATGTTCTGTGTTCAAACCACCAAACAGAAATATCTTGTTAAATGTATGCATTTTGAACAAAAATTATTTTAAAATTATTAGGATGGCATTTTCTTCTTATTTTTTTATCTAAATAATCCAGTTCAGAATAATTTGCTTGGCATAGGTGGAGATACATGTACGCAGATATTGGAATACTGCCAATGAAAAATCGGGTAACACGTACATTAATCTGTAGGTAGATTTATTGCATTCCAAAGTGTTTACTTATTAATTAAATTCTTTGTTATCCTGTTTGACAAAGAGGTGGTGGCAATGCTGAGGAAATTGGGCTCACCTGCACAATCAATCAACATTTAGTGCATAATGTTGGTGATTCCAGATAGCATTAACCCTTTAGATCAGGTGTGTGCAGCACATTACATTCAAAGGGGGGTGTGTGTGTGTGTGTGTGTGTATGTATATATATCTATCTCTATTACTTGCATACACACGCATTCTCTTTCAGTATGGCTATGTATGCAGGATCTTCTAATTTACAGATCACTCAACAAATCCCTAGTTGTTCGATAATTAGTTGTCTTGGTCTGTAGTAGAAGACATTTGATGCTCATTTATTAAATATACTCACTAGCTGTTCTCTAATCTTTTTGTTCTGGACAGTCAAATTACCTTTCTCACTCTAGCTAATTAAAATGGTGAGGAATTGGAGTTTTAATTCCCAAATTCCCATGAGTTGAAGCTCGGGGGGTGTGGGGATGGGGAGATGTTAAACTTTTCTATGTAACCTAGTCTGAAGGCTTGTACATAATGGTATATGTAGTTCACTAATGTAATTTTATAATTTTATGTAAGATGCTAAAAGATGCATTCCATGCAATTATTTTCCATTTACTACAAAAAATGTAAGTTCATACAACAGCATAAAGCACATTTTTCACCAGAAAATTTTCAAAAATAAAAATGGACATTAAAAATATACACTATGTTAAAATTCATGCTTTTGTAGCTGAAACGGACCATTATCTACCTCGCTTTTATTTCACTCCTCCTGGCCTGGCTCCTCAACTGTGGCACTGGCCACCTTACGGACCTCTGGAAAAATTATTTGTCAGTGTCCTCTGTGTGTATTATATATTCATTTCATTTCAGATTAATAGATCATTCACTCCTCCTTATAGCACAATATTCACAATGTCATATTGACTTGAAAAATATTATTTTCTACTTTTTATTCAAGCTTTTTTTTTCTTTTTTTTCCACTATAGGATTAAAGGGACACGCGTCATGTAGTTGTTCTTGAAAGTATATTAGCTCCCGTCAGGTATTTTCATGTAAATACTACCTTTTCAGAGAAAAGGCAGTGTTTACATTGCCCCTAGGAACACCTCCAAGTGGCCACTCCTTAGATGGCCACTGGAGGTACTTCCTGGCTCAGGGCTGCACTGCTTTTATTTATTGTACTTCACTCATCCTTTGTGCAATCTTAATATTAAAAATACTTTGCAGAGTCACTAGCATCATCGGACTAACCTAGATTAAATTATTCAGTCTATAAATCCACTACCCGCAAAGAATACTGTCACTGGATGTTGGGTGTGCACCCACTGCTTCTTTGAGAAATTTCTGATTCTATACTTGTGGAGAAGCATTGGATTGGCCAATCACAGCAATTGCTGCATATGTATTCTATATTCTCAATGCCTCTCTGAGAAGTCAAGATAAAGGCATCAATCCTGATGCCTTCGGTGTGAGCAGATTCGAGACTGTATTGGTGCAGGACTTTTAACATTTTTGATTTAAGAGAGTGCAGTAATAATAAGAGGTGTGTGTGTGTGTATATGTATATATATATATATGTATGTGTGTGTGTATATATATATATATATATATATATATTATATAATTTTTTTTTAATCACTGTTCTGACCTTAAATGACCATTTGATCCTGCCCTATGGAGATATCTGTTGAGGTATAGGATTGGATTTTAATGAAAAAATAAACTAGATATATTGACCAGCGCTTACTCTCTTCAGAGTTGCAGTTTATTAATAACATGCTTCTCTCTTTCTCATTTTGTTTTAGGTCTGTTAAAAGGTCAGAGTAATATAGAATGCGTGCCTTCATCTCAAATTCTGTTCATCGCAGATGGATCCCATGTCTCCAGTATACAAGTCACCTTGTAGCTAGCATCAGTGCCAGCTTCATGCCATTGCACCTTCTCTGTTCTTGATTGCCCCCCACATGTATTGGTGTATGAAGATGAACATTAAAGGACTTCATGAACCTTGGGCTAACGGGAGACACTTGGGGGGGGGAAAAAAACACAACACATTGAGAGCTTCACCAGAGGACTACTTTGGGAGGGGAAAATGACTAATGAAGCTAACTTTGCAAGAAGCGTTCAAAACGGCTTTCTTACCCTCATTACCAATTAACAGGGCACCGGCCAGAGTTTGCACCCTGTGTTTTGACAACATTCTGTTTTGCTCTTTGTATATTTAAGTGTTGTAAGGAATTATGTTCCAATCAAGCTGAACATAATCTAAAGGAAAGTTGTAGCTTTTGTGGTACTCTATCACAAACCCTTTTATTGTATCTCTGTAAAATACAATGTACGTATGCATGTACGTGTTTATTTTATTTCCTACTTTTTTTTATTTTATTTTTCTCTTTATTTTGGTTTTATGTTGCTACTTCCTATGGCAAGAAAGAAGGGAAGAGGCAGGAGAGAATCTGCTATTGTGTAGAAATTTTCACCTACTTGCTGGTTGAAGAAAAATCTTTTATTTGTGATATTTTCAGAGACATTTGCTCTAGTATGGTGTATTTAAATAATAAAATATTAAAATGCTATCGTTTAAATATGGTTTCTAGAACTTTTTGAATTGATGTTAGAGGGTCAGGATACATTCAGCATACATTTTATACACCCTAGATTACAAAATTTAGGACAAAACTATAGATGAAGAATAGCTGATTTGGAAAATTTAAAATTCTGCAAAATTTGCGGCTACACAACAATTTGTGTTTTTAAGTGCTCAAAATGTGAAATCCTATAAAAATTTTTTTTTATATATATAATATATATATCTAATTTGTATTTGATGTTTTTTGAGACTCGAATGGCCAGCTTTTTCTGTCCACTAACTGTTTTAAATACTAGCATATCCATGATTTAGGCTTCCTGCAATTACAAAGAAAAAAATAAAATAAATATATATATATATATATTTTTTTTTTTTTTTCTTTGTAATTGCAGGAAGCCTGCAATTTAGATTCCACAAACTTGTGCAACATATTTTAACCATTTTAGAACATGTACAATATTTCATTTTGTAAACTTAAAGAAAACTTGTAACCACAAGTCTGTATGGATGCTATTAAGTGTGGCAACCACAATGTACGCATGTAAAAAAAACATTTTCACTGACCACGAGGATTGAGTTTTTCTGCTGACAGGATGACCGCAAACCATGTGCAATTCTCCTATCACACACATCAGCATTATATGACACTTAGAAAACAATTTTTTGTGATTTTTGACTTTACAGTTTTGGTAAGTAGTAAACACAATTTTTTTTTAGTCAGCCATATACTGATGCCAAAAAGATGTATAAATGGTAGACTGCCAGACAGAAAAAAATATATATATATATTTTTTTTTTTTTAAAGGGGTACTCCAAGCATCTTAACTAGTACAGCCCCCTGTAGTAATAATGATGTGAGATGTATCCGGGACACGCATCCTGCTAATGGGCAATGTTCGGTTTTGCAGAAGCCAGATGCCGATTCGGCCAGCCATTCGTTGACAATAATTACAAATGTGTGCGTAGCAATATTCACAGAATTGACATAAGTAAGCCAGGAACTACAGTTCCAATGATGCCGTAGAGGGAGTTACATCTCTGACAGCAGAGGGGTTAATCTCATTGTGTGCAGCGTTTGAAAGTGAAGTTCTGTACATACAGTCTGCAGACACCATGACCAGTTCAAATCACTGAAGTGGTCATGGTGTTTTGAGTAACTGTTTAAAAAGTCCATGAAAGAGTGACTGTATAATCCATTTTTCTGAAGATACTTATGAATAAGATTTACAGCTTACCCACATTAAATCATTAAACATTGCAGAATCAAATCTTCTATAACCTCCCTCGTTAAAGGGGCAGTTTGCTCAGTGTAAAGGGTTTCAGACAAATCTAGTCTTTTATTATTTAAAGACTCATCCATAAGTGACCAACTATTAAAAGAAGGGGGGGGGGGACACTTAAATTGGTCTTGAATTCTTCAAAAACTCACCATCGCTTCCAGCGCTACAAATGGCGAACTTTTTTTTTTTTTTGAGAGTGAGTGATGCAGCCAGGGAAGGAATGTAACACCTTATACCTCGTATAACGGCCAGACCAACATATTAACATTTTATTTACACAAACATTGTAAATACTAATACAATTGCCTGCCAATATCCTGAACTCCTGGAGGGAGGCATTTGGGTCACAGACATGTTTGCTAAGACCACTATAATTATTGCACGGAGTAATCAAGGGTGGAAAATAAATCTACTTCAAGCACAAATGTGTTTGTAGTGAAAACCATTTGTAACTGCACAGATTGTTTTATAAAAGTTATTTAGAAGTGTGTATGTAATTTCAATCACTTTTTTTTTTCTCTCACCACCATAACTTTCTTGGTTTGTACTTCACAAGTACCTCCAAGCATTACTAGCAAGCCAGTAACCAACCTCATGCTGATGAGTTGCATTAACAACGAAACAGCAATCCATGAGTGGTTCACTGGCTTTGCTCCTCTTCCTGAGTTGTTTCAAAGCTGTTGTATACAGCAGACACATACTCCAAGGAATCTATGTATAAATTGGAATTATGAGACCAAAATGTTTTTTTTTTTTAACTCTTTTGCATACATCTACCCAGAATCCCTTGCAGTAGTGCGAGCACTGCTAAAGTGAGATTTCTGGGGGGAAATAAAGTCTTATGGCTTGACTGGTGTGTGTATTTGTGTTTAGCAATGTATTAACCATATATATATGTGTGTATGTTTGTGTATATATATATATACACACCACCACCTCCCAACATTTGTTTTTAAAGGAATTTGACAAATGTATTCTGAATAGTAGTTCAGGAAGTAGTAAGGAAAAAACAAACACACCACAAAATTTGCATATTTCCATGTGATCAATGAAAGCTCTTCCCTGATTTGAAATCTGTTTTGTGTTTTTCCATCTGTCAAAGTACATCTGTTGTAAATCCGTGACATTGTTATTTTACTCTATAACATTTATTTTTTTCTGTAAATTGTGCTAGCCAATTTAAAACCTGCTATTGGCCATTTTGGCTTTGTGGTAAGTACTAGAAAAAGGGGGGTTATGTATATAAGGTGTCAGGTCCGCTTTCATATTTGCACCAGCATTGTGTGAGTACACAACTGTGTTATGTATAAAACTGGTAAAACTGGTACTTCAACCTTTACCCACTGCTACATTTGTTTTCTGCCGTTTCTGTAGAATGCTAAATCAATCCTTATTTACAATTTTTGGATTTTATGCTAGATTTTTTATTTTTTTTTCCTCATTCATTACATTCATAAAAAAAGAAAAATGCAGTAATATTACTAGGCAAGAAAATATAAGAAAACCTGAGACTTGGATTCACTAAAGTGAATTTCAAATGTAAGGTCAAAACAGCCAAAATGGAAAAAGTCTTATGTTTCAAGTTTGGCTACATTGGCCATAAATTTTAAATTTACTTTGAATTCTCAGTTCAGTGAATAACCCTGTTTTTTTTACATTAGAAAAAAATAAAAATCAACAAAATACAATGAGAAAGTAAAATGCCACAAGAGGTATAGCAAGGAAAAGTGGGAAAAAAAAAAGGGTCCACTATAACCAATGCAAGTACTAGTTACACAACATAAAGTTAAAGATTTAAAATTAATGAATACAGAATGAAAGATTGGCAGGTGTTGGAGTGGCATTTGATTTGGAATTCAGACGAGGAAGATATTTTGCAAGCATTTTAATGAGGAAATATTGCAATAGTATTATGGTATAGTCTGGGAGATAATTGCTGTTGGTTATTACTAATTACTAAATTTTATTCCATTGCCAATTTAATGTAGGAATTTCATCAAATATGCTCTTTCTTGGCACATGATGCCATTTCATGAAGCCCTATGTGAGGCTTACAAGCATGTGTGTTTATACCAGTAATAAAGGGAGCAATATCCTGTTAAGCCACAGTTCATAGGAGTGCGTCTGTGCCAGTGATCTTGGATAGAAGACTCCTTGGCAGAACCCACTAACTAGCATACCTTACTGGCTTACACTGCAGCACTGAGTTAAAAGGTATTATTTCATTTGATACAATGAAAAGACTTAGTTATCTAATAAGTTATGGTTCTGAGATTTTGAAGACTTTTTCCAGGGTTTTCTATTGGTGTACTTAAAAAGTTACTTTTAAGAGGTGGCACCTCTCCGAAGTATTATGCCCTATTGGGCATTGTGAACAAGGTGCCTCCTCTTAATGCTCTGTAAAAACCTAGAAATAAAAGGTTTTGCTTACTTAAAAGCCAGCGCTGGGGCAAAGCTCCTGATTTTTCTTTTTTGCTTCCCATCATATCATCACTGAGGCCACGTGTGGTCAAATCACAGGCTTCTCATAGAGACAATTGACTCTTTATTCATAGGTCAGGTGTCACGGCAGACTGACACCTTCTCACAAGTAGTTTAGTTAAAAAATATATATATATATATAATATATATGTATAGCACTGTCAATATAGGTGTTTAATGTAAATACACAGCCAAGAATATTATCAGCAGGGAACAGATTCATTTGGCAAAATATAATTAGCTTCTTCAAATTATTGTGTCATTGCACCCCATAGTGTCCATTGTTTAGGCATAATAGGCAACATATGTTCTCTCTTACAGTGCCACATACATGCTTCACACTTGTGTAGTCTGTAGTCTTCCAATGATATCTAAATTCTTTGTTACTAGAAAAGGTATCAGCCTCTACGGACATTAAAGTGGATATGAGTTTATTCTCTGGACCTTCCTGTTACTAGACATATCATGTTCAAAATTACTCTACACTTGTTCATGAAGCCCAAATATTTTCTTTAGAAATCATATAACTATTATTATTCAGTATTAAAAAAACCTTCCTTTAAACTGGTATTGTTTTCACTTGCTTTTTAAGATGCCATTGTTCTTAATGCTGGAGAAGTGGAGAAGATGGCCAACTTCTCACATTTTGTAAATATTTAACATATGCTAAATTATCACGACTGGGGTGATCTTAAACCCTTCACTAGATCATCTCAGGGACATGCCTTTTCCATCCCATCTGCTTGCTACATGCATGTCCAAAGGGGCCATAAAGTGGCCAATCAAATAGTTTTAGTCGAGCATCGGAAGGTGTTCAACTTGGCACCGGCCAATATGGCACGAATGTTCTGTGTAATACAATCAAATAATGACAAGCAGATATATCCCGATAATCTTAAAACAGGCTGCACATTAATTTCCAATATTTTATGTTGCATGTCTGAACAGCAATAAGGGGAAAATCAAATTCTATGTACTCATTTTTCATCCTTGCTTTGTCGCAGCTTAATTATTTAATTTGGACGGAAATTATTCTATTATTATACGTTGCTAATTAAATAGCTACCTTAGCAGCACAGGCATAAGTAATTGTCCTTATAGTCCATGCCACGTATGTTAACGGGAATCTATTATGATAAATAGGTCAATGTTGATTTAATGCACTGTAACTATTACTTATTTATAAACAAAAAACTGTAATTATCCTGTGCTTTGTACCAGTATCTGGAAAATTAATTTTCTGAGAAATGTTCACTGTGGTGAACTTTTTCTTCCCCTACAGCAAGGCATGAGTGGCACAGTGGAAAGATAAGTAAGCCTGTAGAAAGATTAATTGAGAGTTTAGAGAGATAAGAATGGCAATTGGAACCACATGGAGAAATTGATTCTAGTCTTCAAAGTCAAAAGCATTGGTAAGGACTTCTATGACGACATGAGGTTCCTGATTTGATAGTATTTTAATCTCATGGTGGGATGGCAGTCATAACAAGTAAAGCCCTCTACTCATATTTTCAAGCCGAATATCAAATATCCACATAATACTTTTAAAATCTGCTCATCTGACCTCAGCTCTGCCTATCTTTTTTTTTTTTGTTCGTGTGTGTACATACACACGCAAACACGGCCACACACGTACACGCTTTTTTACTTGAAATTTCAAACAAGCAAATGTAAATATGTTGTTTTAGAAAGGAAAAAAAGGTTAAACATTGGCACAGTGGTAAGCTGCATTCAGTTAAATGGGGTCGGCTATTCCTGAGGATAAGGAAAAATGATGAAATTAGGGTTTCAATAATGTTCTATGGACAATGTTCATAACTGAAAAATATTTACCAAAACATTTTTAAGTAGTTACGCATTTACAAATTGACTTGCAACGTTGGTACATCACAACGCTTTTATAGCTGGAACCATTCACTCTCCTGCATCAAAATGTGGTGCCTAATTGTCAACCAGAGATTACTCAAAAGTTCACACTCAGTACATTGACCACAGTCACGTCTGGCTACTTTCTGCTAGTTTTGGCTTTTATACATACATATATACATATAAAAATGCGAAAAAAGCTAAATTCCCCTGCACTCACGCTTTAACTGCTTCAATGCCAGGCGCATAAGCCTGATCTCCAATAACACAACATCCAAATAGAATGGCTGCTCACCGGTCTATTTAAAAAAAAAAAAATTATTATTTGGTAGAGTTAAAAATAGCGACCAACGTTTCAGTCCCCGTTCGGGACTTTCTTCAGGGTCAATAACAGGACAACATATATATATATATACATATATATATATTTATTCTTTTTTTCTTTTTGCAATATACCACTGGTGTCCCAAAGTTGGACATGGGCCTTAAACTAGCACTCACCTGGTGTAACTTGCAATTTATTCAAAATGTCAAGTGTTACAACATATAATCTTTACTTCAGGC